CAACGAACAATTTTTATGGTTGGGGGGTCACCACAACATAATGAACTGTATGAACAGGGGTCGTGGAAGTTGGAAGGTTGAGAACCACTGTATTAAGTTGTTATTATTATGAATTATTTTGAATCAAATTTTTTTAAAAATTCCCTGTGTTGAATTTTATTTTTTAATTTGATCGGGGTCGGAGGCCATTTTGTTTCTACAGAATGAGGTCGCCACGAACCTGTTGGGAACCTGTAGATATGATGATCGGCTCGTCTATAAATGCAAATTAGATAGAATGATAACGGGTCGTTGTTTAGAGATCAACATCTAAGGGATTTTAAGCAGACTGTAATAGGAATAAGTTATTAAAAAAAAAACACCAACTTTATTTTATCTTTCCAAGATCAGTTGAGCTTGGCGAGCTAATTGTGTACATCATTGTGTACAAATTAGCGACATTATGTCATAATTTGGTTACTCACTTGAGACCCCGTGACATCATTGTGTACAAATAGTTGAACATTGGATTTATCCCGTAACGTCATTTGACTTCTGGCTGCTGCACTCTGGTACATTTGTACTCTGGTACACTTGTACTTTAATACAACTATTTGGTTAAAAGAAACACCGATTGAATTATTCGAACTGCCAACTTACGTGCTGTGTTTCTCCGAAGTGTCCAAACCTTCTCCATAACTTAGAGTTCATGCGCCTAATTCATTCACAATCTTGGACTACTTTGTTGGCTGTCTTAAAAGTAGATAAGGCAACTATATTTAGTTGTGTTAATATTCAGTGAAAGATGGGACCGTGGTCACATTCACTGATGTATTATTGGAGACAGTCTGGGTCTTATTATGATGATATTTCTCTGTCATGATTTTTTGGAGATAATCCGGTGTCGTCTGAAACAAAAATAAAAATAATGAATAATAAGTCTTTCAAAAACTTTTTTTAAATAATGGAAATACAAATACAATATTTTAAAAAAATACTTTTCAAACAAGATATCATGCTACACCACATTACGCTGTCTTAAACTGTCCTAAATCTTAAGTACTCTAATTACTCTACCATTCCCTACATTACTATACCTTTCCAGTGGCGTACCTATGGTAGGTATCCCACAGGACGGGCTAAAATTTTCTTCGCCCACCTTTAACTCAAAAATACAAAACAAAACAGACAAACGAAATAAACGCGACAAACGTGTCCCCGGGGCTGCACTGCTTCACCCACCCACTTCCTACGCCACTGCTTACCAAGCTATCGATCCCTGAACAAATATGCCCTTTACTTGTACATTGTTTAAAATTGACACTACCCTACTGTAAAACTACAATTCATACAGTACACCCTGTCACTCATGCGTTACCCAGCATACCCTAGAGTTCCTTCCCATGTATTCAAATATCCATCTCTTGGGATGTTCTACACAATTTTTCACGCTTTGTCTTTAATATGTCTCTTTATTTAGTTAGGCCATTACCCAAAGGTTACATTAGCCAACCAACGTTACTCTGCATCATTATACACTACAGAACACCACATTTACACTACAATACACTACACTACAATTATACACCAGTTACTGGAAGAAAATATAGGGATGCCTGTGTAATGCATGGGTGGCAAGAGCAATCAATCAACGGTTCTGTAGAGGTAGCTTTGCGCTTACTTCAAAAATTTCTGTTTCATTCAGTTGGACGTTGATCCAAGTGTAGAGAGATTCGAACCTTATTCCACTCACGTTATACTTGATTGTGTTTAAACCTTCCACGTCCATTCGTTTGTGGGCAACACCTAAGAGCCTTCTCCTGATTCAGAGAGACAATGTTATGTGTTATCATGGGTCCAAACTGATTAATGCTTCCATATTACATGTCATCCTTCATTTTAAATGATCAGCATATGTAAGACTACCAACACAGTATATGGGAGACTACTAACACAGTGTATGGGAGACCCCCATCACAGTATATGGGAGACTACCAGCACAGTATATGGGAGACTACCAGCACAGTATACGGGAGACCCCCAGCACAGTATACGGGAGACCCCCCAGACAGTATATGGGAGTCTACCAGCACAGTATATGGGAGTCTACCAGCACAGTATATGGGAGTCTACCAGCACAGTATACGGGAGTCCCCCAGCACAATATATGGGAGACTACCAGCACAGTATATGGGAGACTACCAGCACAGTATACGGGAGACCCACAGCACAGTATACGGGAGACCCCCCAGACAGGATATGGGAGTCTACCAGCACAGTATATGGGAGTCTACCAGCACAGTATATGTGAGTCTACCAGCACAGTATATGGGAGTCTACCAGCACAGTATATGGGAGACCCCCAGCACAGTATATGGGAGACTACCAGCACAGTATATGGGAGACTACCAGCACAGTATACGGGAGACCCACAGCACAGTATACGGGAGACCCCCCAGACAGTATATGGGAGTCTACCAGCACAGTATATGGGAGTCTACCAGCACAGTATACGGGAGTCGACCAGCACAGTATAGGGGAGTCTACCAGCACAGTATATGGGAGTCTACCAGCACTGTATATGGGAGTCTACCAGCACAGTATATGGGAGACCCCCCAGCACAGTATATGGGAGTCTACCAGCACAGTATATGGGAGTCTACCAGCACAGTATATGGGAGACTACCAGCACAGTATGTGGGTGACTACCAGCACAGTATACGGGAGACCCCCCAGCACAGCATATGGGAGTCTACCAGCACAGTATATGGGAGTCTACAAGCACAGTAAATGGGAGTCTACCAGCACAGTATATGGGAGTCTACCAGCACAGTATATGGGAGTCTACCAGCACAGTATATGGGAGTCTACCAGCACAGTATACGGGAGACCCCCCCCCCAGCACAGTATATGGGAGTTTACCAGCAGAGTATATGAGAGAAGGAGTACATTATTTAATGTTATCGCCAAAGAAGACTATTTGCAGACAAGATCCTTGTTTTGCAGTCGATCATCAAAAATGTTTAGATCGAGCCCAGAGCATTTCCCACATCTTTAACAATTGTATCTGTTATATATAGAGTTTGCTTCTGGTGAGTCATGCTTCCTCTTCATAACCGCACCCCTATCCAACGCCACATGTTTTATATTGTACGAGTGAAAAAAATGGCTGACACGCAGCAGCGAGCTCCATGCGTGACGTCTGAACTCTTGTAAATTCATTTTTTTTTCTTTAGAGCCGAATTTTGAACCGAATTTTTAAAAAAATTCAATGTTTTCTTCACATCTTTAACGTCTTTGTTCTGGGGCGGCTGGCATCCGTCCGTCACGATGACGATAGAGTGGGCTTCAGAGGACGAAATCCACAAGGCCTGGGATTATTCTTCAAGGATTATAAGCTGGTTCCCAGCAGCAAATCGCCTCTCTCCACGCCGCTGGACAACCCAAGGGAACATCATTTGGATGATACAGCTTGGCACCATTGACGTCGCAGGAGTTGTCGGAATGTTTCATTGTATCAATGATATCCGCCTTTCGGGACTCCATCTCCGGGTTTTGATTTCAGAGTTTCCTTCTCTTAGATGAGTTGCCGTCCAAGGTCAACGAGTCCCATCTACCCGTGGTGCTGGTGGTGTTATTGCTTGACTGGGCTCTGGCCGGAATTGAACTCCAACTTGAGATTTGCTCAGTTCAGACCACTCGGCCATTCTTTCACTTCCGGCACGTCTTCGCCTGTGAGTCTTCTCCGTGGTCTGGTACAGGAAGGTTGTGATATTTTCGTGATGCTCCGGTTGTTGTTTCGTAAATCTGTGTTATAAGATGAACGGCGGCATCTTCTCTGTTTGACGGGTTTTTGTACACCTTCATCTCTATCCTGAGGTGGCGGCAACTGACCGCTCCTGTCAGTGGGTCATTTCTTGACACAAACGGTTGACGAAGGCCATGCACTCTCACTACGACATGGGGCAGTAGATGTCGTTGCATATTATAGAAAATGAGACGTTAACTATTTGTTTTGTTGTTGTAACACTTGGACCCACCGGGTATTTTCTCAAACTACCAGGACTCGGTGGAAACAAACTGCACCGGCTAAGCCCAAGTCTTATAATTTGACTTTGATTTGAAGAAGTTGAATCTTTTTTATAAATATTAAGGTAGGTATATACAAACAACAACAATACATTATTTATATATGTATGTGTATGTTACGGCCAAAAACAAATACTACCGCCATTTGACCGTGACCCACATAACTCCTCTGCTCACCTGATCGGGTTGATCTCGTTTCCTTTGTCACGTGTGTGCTTTATCATGTCGTATCTGGCCAGTTTTAAGGGCGCGCGGACTATTTCATAGCCTTTCATTTCAGTCCTGGTATAATGGGATAGTGGAGTAATGGTAGAATGGGATAGTGGAGTAATGGTAGAATGGGATAATGGGATAGTGGGATAGTGGAGTAATGGTATAATGGGATAATGGGATAGTGGAGTAATGGTATAATGGGATAGTGGAGTAATGGTATAATGGGATAGTGGAGTAATGGTATAATGGGATAGTGGAGTAATGGTATAATGGGATAGTGGAGTAATGGTATAATGGGATAGTGGAGTAATGGTATAATGGGATAGTGGAGTAATGGTATAATGGGTTAGTGGAGTAATGGTATAATGGGATAATGGGATAGTGGAGTAATGGTATAATGGGATAATGGGATAGTGGAGTAATGGTATAATGGGATAATGGGATAAAGATACCACGTGTATCTAATCTGCACATCTTTAAACACACGACACTTGAATAGTTTAAACACATTTCTTATTGTACAAGTACGTCAAAACATTTTTTTTTTAAAATTTATAACTTTAAACATGTTTCTAGACAGGAAGCATTTCTGACAAAGGTTACACCCACTACGTACGCTACGTCACATGCTGCATTCACACCCCACAACATTTGATTAATGATGACGAAAATAGATGACCCGACAAAACATACCTGACATACAGGTCATCATCCTCGCCTCCCCACCCAAAGTAAGCATTGGAGTTTCCGTTGACGGCCAGGTACTGGTCGCGTGTGAAGCCGACAGCGCCCCCAAAATATTTCAGGTATTGCAATCTGTGACATAAATGAACAAATATACCTAGTTCGTCATTCTATTATATAAATGACAACGTAGCAGCAGTTACACAACACATCCTTTACACAAAAGAGTCATCATCATCAGTGGCACTACAGCCCGTGTAGGGCCCTGGTCTGCTCCATTACATGCTTTCTTATACAACAGAGTGCTTAGACAGTAAGCACATCGAGTGTACTGGACAATGGAACATCAACGTCATCTAAATGGAATCTTCGTAGTGTTTAAAAAAAGAACACACAAAAAACAACAACAACAGCTTAAACCTATTTTTCCAATGCTCACCTGTATTTATATTTGTTCAAGGCCACGGCGAAATGTCTGGGCTGGTCGCCACACCTGTACATGTGACGGTCATTCAGGGGGATCAGGTCGACGTCGTGAAAGACGTAGCAATCAAATGTGCCCAACTTGGACGACTCTAAAAAGCCCACGTTTAAGAGTGCCCCTCTGTTGAACGTCACTGGGGGATCCTGTCAATGATACCATTGTTTTGTTTTTGTTTAAATAGTTGACAGAATGACAGGGCAATACGTCACAGTAGCTGTTCGTAAAACGTCACATAAGTAAACGTCACAGTAGCTGTTCGTAAAACGTCACATAAGTAATAAGTGAAACGTCACATAAGTAATGAGTGAAACGTCACATAAGTAATGAGTGAAACGTCACATAAGTAATGAGTGAAACGTCACATAAGTAATGAGTGAAACGTCACATAAGTAATGAGTGAAACGTCACATAAGTAATGAGTGAAACGTCACATAAGTAATGAGTGAAACGTCATATAAGTAATGAGTGAAACGTCACATAAGTAATGAGTAAAACGTCACATAAGTAATGAGTGAAACGTCACATAAGTAATGAGTGAAACGTCACATATTTAGTGAGCTAAATGTCACATAAGTAGAAGCACGTCACAGATATAGTGTGCAAAGCTGCAAAAGCCTCACATGTGTAGTGTGTAAAACTTCAAGTGTGCAGTGTGTAAAACTTCACAGGTGTAGTGTGCAAAACTTCAGAGGTAGTGTGTAAAATGTAGCAGGTGTAGTGTGCAAACTTCAGAGGTAGTGTGTAAAACGTCACAGATGCAGCAGTGTGTAAAACGTCAGTTTGTGTAGTGTGTAAAACGTCACAGATGTAGGGTGTAAAACGTCACAGATGTAATGAGTAAAACGTCAAAGAGTGCTTCGGATAGTTGCTAAAAGGCTAACAAGACTGAATCGCTTTTATCTGCTTTTGTTTTCAACCGTGAATGGAAAAACCCCCAGAGTTGTACTCACGCAGTAGTAGCGAGATGACATCTTCTCACCTGTTCAATAACAAAGAATGTCGCGTCTGCTTGTTGCCGTATGAAAAGTGGGATGAGGTTGTGGAGCAGCACGTGCAAGTGTGGCCATCGGTTGCGGTAAGGAATTATAACAGCCAATCGTTGCCTCGCAACGCAGTCACGTGGCCTATACCGGCCTCCCTTTTCCATGATGGGAAACATGGTCAAGAGTTCTTGGGGCGATATGTCATTGGGCATTGCGGCAAGATCTCCGACTGAAATAAGAAGAAAAAAAGGTGTGCTTACAGACTCGTGACATGCTAGCCATGACAGTTATACCAACAACCCCCCCCCCACACACACACACAAAACAACAACAACGGATATGTTATTCAATCTGAGAATAGTCAAGACAAGTGTTTCAGCATGAGAATGGACACTTAGATCTATACATGACATCATGATGAAGAACTTGACTTTGTCATTGCACAACGGCCTTCTTGTATATATTTAAGGAAAAAACAACAACAAATTTTGGATGTTTGAGCCTGGGGGGAAATATATGTGCATTGCGGAGCAGGATGTATAAAGCTGGGGGGGGGGGTGGGAAGTTTGGGTAGGAGAGAGATGGGTAAGGCGCCCAGGACGTTGCTGAGCGAGGTGTTAAAAAAATGAATAAATATTTAAGGAAAAAACAACAACAAATTTTGGATGTTTGAGCCTGGGGGGAAATATATGTGCATTGCGGAGCAGGATGTATAAAGCTGGGGGGGGGGGTGTGAAGTTTGGGTAGGAGAGAGATGGGTAAGGCGCCCAGGACGTTGCTGAGCTAGGTGTTAACAAAATGAATAAACGTTCCTTCAATATATGAACAGGTATTGTTTGTCGAAGTGCGTCACCCAACGATGAAGCGACAACACTTTGAATATATCAAGAAACTTGATCAACACATTGATCGTGGGCCCCTCAAATATAAGAAGAAGAAGGAACTTAGTTGCAAGAAAAGTACACTATAGTAAAGGAAACATACAAATAAAAACCACATAATGTTTGAAGTAATTTAAAAAAAAATTCTTTCAGGCATAGCGAAATTAAAGAAAATAATATTCTAAGTATACATTGAAGGACATATTTTGCATAGCATTTTATAGTCAAATGTCACTGAATGTAGGATGAAGTTTCTTCATTATAAGTAAATAGAACTAATAATTTAAATTAACTTGCTGATGATGGCTATTTATAGAGATCACTTCTTACTCAATTTTGGAGGATCGAAAGGGCAAAGGTTACATGCTGGATATGACGTGTTTGAGACATTTGGGGTCTCAGGCGCATGCGTCGATTCTTTGCTGGTTGGACTGTCGTCGGTGTCGTTATCGCTCGATGACACTTGTTGCGGTCGTCTGCCCGGACCACTGATGTTGACCATGTCCTGATGAGTTAGGCTCTCTTCTCTCTCTTGTCTGTACGGGTCAACCTTTTTCAATGGGGCTGCGGAAGAAAAAATAGGGGGGGGGGGGTTAGAGGGCGGAAACATGGGTTAACATGGCGTTTAAATCTGTCTATAGATATGTAATATATTTGAAAATATATTTGTAATAGACTTGTAAAAGATTGGTAATAGATTTGTTATATATTTGTCCATACATAATCTGTTCATAGTAAACAAAATGTGTCATTAATGGGAGCCGAATTGTGAAGAGAAAATGTATTGTGTTTTTATGATGAGCATGCTAGATATTATACCAAAATGGAGTAGAAGCAGTGGCGTAGCGAGGGTGTTTGGCGCCCGGGGACAAGATTCGCGCCCGGGGACAAGATCCATTTTTAGCGCCCCTTTTTCTTTTTTTCAACTCTCAAACCCATTATTTTCATCAATAAAATAATATCAAAGCACATTTTGGCGTCCCAACTAGCTGGCGCCAGGGGACATCTGTCTCCCCCTGCCCCCACCACGCTACGCCTCTGAGTAGAAGATACCTATGTTACATCCAATCAAACTTTCATTAGTATTCTTAGAGAATAGCACGCATCTACTCTAAATCCATGTAACTCCGTAAAAACCACTATGAGACTTACACTAATTTCCCTACACTCCATGTAAATCAAAACCATAATCATCCACTACAGCACTAACACGTTATTAAACATCACAAATTGCAGCACTAACACATGATTTAACATCACGAATTGCAGCACTAACACATGATTAAACATCACGAATTGAAGGCACTAACACATGATTTAACATCACGAATTGCAGCACTAACACATGATTAAACATCACGAATTGAAGGCACTAACACATGATTAAACATCACAAATTCCAGCACTAACACATAATTAAACATCACACATTGCAGCACTTACACATGATTAAACATCACAAATTGCAGCACTAACACGTCATTAAACATCACAAATTGGAGCTCTAACACATCATTAAACATCACAAATTGGAGCTCTTACACATCATTAAACATCACAAATTGCAGCACTAACACATGATTAAACATCACACATTACAGCACTAACACATGATTAAACATCACACATTACAGCACTAACACATGATTAAACATCACACATTGCAGCACTTACACATGATTAAACATCAAAAATTGCAGCACAAACACATGATTTAACATCACACATTACAGCACTCACACATGATTAAACATCACACATTGGAGCTCTTACACATCATTAAACATCACAAATTGCAGCACTAACACATCATTAAACATCGCAAATTACAGCACTAACACATCATTAAACATCACAAATTACAGCACTAACACATCATTTAACAGCACAAATTACAGCACTAACACATGATTAAACATCACATATTACAGCACTAACACATGATTAAACATCACACATTACAGCACTAACACATGATTAAACATCACACATTGCAGCACTTACACATGATTAAACATCTCAAATTGCAGCACTAACACATGATTAAACATCACACATTACAGCACTAACACATGATTAAACATCACACATTACAGCACTAACACATGATTAAACATCACAAATTGCAGCACTAACACGTCATTAAACATCACAAATTGGAGCTCTAACACATCATTAAACATCACAAATTGGAGCACTAACACATGATTAAACATCACAAATTGCAACACTAACACATGATTAAACATCACACATTGGAGCTCTAACACATCATTAAACGTCACGAATTGTAGCACTAACACATGATTAAACATCACGAATTGCAGCACTAACACATGATTAAACATCACAAATTCCTGCACTAACACATGATTAAACATCACAAATTGCGGCACAAACACGCCATTAAACATCACACATTGGAGCTCTTACACATCATTAAACATCACAAATTGCAGCACTAACACATCATTAAACATCGCAAATTACAGCACTAACACATCATTTAACAGCACAAATTACAGCACTAAAACATCATCAAACATCACAAATCGGAGCTCTCTAGCCATGTATGCATGTTAGGCTGTAACGCTGTGTTCGACAGGCGCGAACATAAATTTAGCAGACGCCTTTAGCTCTGATTGTGATTCATATGACGTGCGTTAATTGCGTGCATGTTTTGTCACGTGACTTTAGTGGATGTGAAGTACTCGCCTTGCCGGCCGCAGTCGTTCGTCGGGCTTTTTCTGGTTTCGAAATAATAGTTTTAATAGTTCCCCCCCCCCCCGAGCCTTTACGGTTTTCTCCTCATTTAGTTTCAAACACAACCCAATCCATGCTCCAAACCTACGAGGCTCTTATCATTAGTTTTCTAAGCCAAACCCAACCGATCTCTCCGAAAGTCAAAGGTATGAGAATCGCTGTTGTTAGCATGAACTAGGAGAGTATTGACGAAGAGACTAGAAGCATGTATGACATGTTATCGACCTTAGGAATAGACTAACACAAAAAAAAACCGGCCTGGAAGAAAGCCCAAGCTAAGACGGAAGCTAAGGCAGCTAAAAATAAGACGTATTATGATCACAAAACAAGTTTCTAATACATTCACAACCGGGGACACTGTTTTGGTCTTAAAGCCGAAATAAAGGAAATACCATTAGCATTGAAATCAGAGGAACCATTTGCAGTGGCTGG